AACCTGGTCCCACTGAGCCGGAAAGCAAACCAACACTGCTCCCTAGGGCAACTGCTTCGTTTTGTCTTTTAAAAAGCACAAACCCTTTATTTTTTATTTTTTTCATATATTTTATTGATTTTTACAGAGAGGAAGGGAGAGAGACAGAGAGTTAGAAACATCGATGAGAGAAACATCAATCAGCTGCCTCCTGCACATCTCCCAGGTACATGCCCTTGACCGGAATCGAACCCGGGACCCTTCAGTCCACAGGCCAACGCTCTATCCACTGAGCCAAACCGGTTTCGGCAGCACAAACCCTTTAAAGCCGTGGTTCTCAATCTGTGGGTCGCGACCCCTTTGGCGGTCGAACGACCCTTTCACAGGGGTCGCCGAAGACCATCCTGCATATCAGATATTTACATGACGATTCATAACAGCAGCAACATTACAGTTATGAAGTAGCAACAAAAATAATTGTATGGTGGGGTCACCACATGAGGAACTGTATTTAAAGGGCCAGAAGGTTGAGAACCGCTGCTTTAAAGGCTTATAAAGGTCTTTCCGAGAGGGTCCGCTCAGTGAAAGCCCTGAGTTGCCGTCCGCACGTCTCCACGGAAGCTGAAGAACTTTCAGAAACGCATAATGAAGACCCGGAGGGGAAGCCAACGTTCAAGATTGAACATGAGCTTCCAGGGCACAAGGGACCGAGCGCTGCCAGCAGGGGCTCACGGGGGAATTCTCGAGACCAATGAGGTGTGAGCAGAGGCAGTGTTTTTGGAAAGGGAGAGGAAGAGAGGGGTCCCTGCGGGTAGAAACAACGCCAATTAAAGGACCAGAAAGGGAAAGAAGATGCTATTGCCAGCCAGAGGGGAAAAAGGACGAAAATGCCCTTTTATTGTACTGTCAGGAGAGAAATGAGTCCCAGAGAGGATCGTTCTAAACCCATCAAGAAATGAAGGGAGAATTAGATCAACAAGCCCATTAGGAAGCTAAGACAGGGAAATGTCTGCCGGGGGAAGAGCCACGGGAAAGTAGAGCCATTTATAAACACACTTATCCGAGAGACTTGGGCTACCAGGAGCTGTGAAGATCGCGAGCGGAGACTGCCACTGAGCAAACAGTCGGGGATGTGAAAAGCTCCGTGTGATTAATGCTTACCCCTCCGACCGCGTCCTAGATCAGAAGGCTCCCCGTATATTTCCTGCCCAAGATATAGATTTCTGTAGTGTGCCGGCGTTATTCTGAGTTATCACAACAATCCAGCCAGTGTTTCACCCATTCCCACACCCTGTGTCCCTAGCAACTTTCCTAAAAAACGTCGTGAGTCCTGAGTTTGGAAGGAACAAGGAAGACCCTGGCAGGTGTCAATGGGCAATTTGCACCGTTTCCCAGAGATCATGAGGCCTCTCTGAGGTCACAGGGCCTTTGCTCCACGTGACTGCCTGCGGCTCCCTGGTCTGGCCCAGGGGGGTCGGCCTCGGGGAACTTCCCACCTAAGGAAGGCTGTACTCCACCACCTTCTTCAAGCACGCATCCTGCTCGCTGCCTTGTCTGACTGTAGCGTTTATTCACCTCCGGACCAGGCTGTGGCCCACTAGCATCACACGGTCATGAAATCGATCGTGTGCATCCCAGCCAGCATTAGAAAGGAATGAAACAGCCCTACCTGGTCTGGCTCAGTGGATAGAGCGTCGGCCTGCAGACTGAGGGGTCCTGGGATCGATTCCGCTCAAGGGCACGCGCCTCGGTTGCAAGCTCGATCCTTAGCCCGGGTCGGGGCACGTGCAGGAGGCAACCAATCGATGTGTCTCTCTCAGATTGCTGTTTCTCTCTGTCTTTCCCTCTCCCTATCTCTAAAAAAGAAAGAAAGAAAGAAACAGAATACAAAAGTAAGTTCAACCACATCAAACATGACATTATTTTGTATGTTGTTTTGTGGCAGCCATGTGCATGCGTAGGGGAGTGTGTGTGTGTGTGTGTGTGTGTGTGTGTGACCACATGACACATATTCCCTACTTGCATAGAATGTTGGAAAGCCAGTACGCTACGTCATGCTCTCAGAGGCTCCTCCAGGGTTGCCCCAACTCTAACCTCTCTGTCCTCTGACTTGTCCTGCAGCCTACTGCAAAGCTTATCGTCTTTTTAAAAAAATATATTTTTATTAATTTCAGAGAGGAAGGGAGAGGGAGAGAGAGAGAGAGAAGCATCAATGATGAGAGAGAACCACTGGTGGGCTGCCGCCTGCACGCCCCCTACTAGGGGCTGAGCCTGCAAACCAGGCCTGTTCCCTGACCGGGAATCGAACCATGACCTCCTGGTTCATAGGTCAACACTCAACCTCTGGGCCGGGCAGCACCATTAAACGCTTTTAATCCAGCAAGCTCCTCTGGATCTGGATCTACTGTCTCCACCCAAACTCCGTTTCCACTGCCAAAGTTTGGTTCCAGCTGCCTTTTGCACAGACCTGGACACAGTCGCCTGCGGCCCTGTTCATTCTGACTCTTGTACTTCCCCTCCCGCTGGAGGCACTGTTTTTGCTTCTCCCCCCCTGGACCTGAGCCTACCCCCCACCCCTCCCTGCAGACCACAGGGCCTGTGAGTGGCCACAGGGTCCTATCTCCATCCCCTGCCCTCTTCCTGCTTCAGGTCTGCAGGCAGAATTCCTCTCGGCAAAGGACTGCCCAGCAAGCGTCCTTTGTTTAGAATGTCCCGGGGGCCTGTGCTTCCATCACTGCACTTGAGAGCCTATTTCACAGTCTAGTAGGTCTCGCTGTCTAGGGAATTTTTCTTAACTTCTTCGAAAAATGTCCTTTTCTTCATTTTAATCTATTACTCCTAGTTATACCCCGGATACCATCATAAGTAACATGTCAACTTTTGGCAAGTATATATCTATCTTTCCCTCATTTAACTTAAGACTGTATTTACATGAATCCTCAGTCGCCCTGGCAGGTTTGGCTCAGCACATAGAACGTCGGCCTGCAGACCTAAAGGTCCCGGGTTCGATTCTAGTCAAGGGCATGTACCTCTGTTGCAGGTTCCTTCCCGGCCTGGGCCCTGGTTGGGGCTTGTGCAGGAGGCAACCCATTGATGTGTGTCTCTCACATCCATGTCTCTGTCTTTCCCTCTCTCTTCCACAGACTCACCATAAAGGCAGCTGGGGTCTGACGTGAGAACGGGCACTTTCTCTCTCTGGAATAACCCAGGAATGAACAGGGACTGTCCCATCAGATGATCTGACTGCATTTGATTTCCTTCCGGCTTCATCCTAGAAGGAAACAGAAATATTTAAGTAAAACAGTTGTATACGTTATGACATATTTTCTTTACCATAAACATGTCACCCAAAGAAAATGAATGGAGTCTGAGCAGCAAGATTAAGAGATGTTTAACCCAGCCTTCTAGAAGGTTACTTAGGCAATAAAAAAGAAGTTTAAAGCACATCTCTAGCCCGGCCAGTGCGGCTCAGTGGTTGAGCATCTTCCTATGAACCAGGTCACAGTTTGCTTCTTGATCAGGACACATGCCTGAGTTGCAGACTCGATCTCCAGTAGGGGGCGTGGAGGAGGCAGGCAATCAATGATTATCTCTCATCATTGATGTTTTTATCACTCCCTCCCTCTTCCTCTCTGAAATCAATAAAAACATCCTATATAATAAAACCCTAATATGCAAATAGACCGAACGGCGGGATGACCGGTCGCTATGACGCACAATGACCACCAGGTGGCAGACGCTCAACACAGGAGCTGCCCCCTGGTGGTCAGTGCGCTCCCAGAGCACCGCTCAGCCAGAGCCAGGCTCAAGGCTGGCGAGCGCAGTGGCAGGAACCTCTCCCACCTCCGCTGAAGGTGGGCAGTAAGGAGCGAGGGGTCCCAGACTAGAGAGGGTGCAGGCCGGGCTGAGGGACCCCTCCCCACCCCCACCCCCAGTGCATGAAATTTCGTGCACCGGGCCTCTAGTATTTAATAAATAAGTAAAGCATATCTCTAGCCACAGAATGTATCACACCGCAGTGAGGAATAAGCAACGAAAGGCTAATACCAAGTGGCAAGTTGTACAAATAACACATCCATCTGTGTGTTAGCCAGGCATCATCCCTGTGTTTCATGGTTCTAGTAATAGCCTGACAGCTGAAAACATTCCTGCCCAAGCCAAGTGTTTTGGGAGGCAAGACTTGAGTTTTTAACCACATTATTAAGCGATGAGTCTTCGGGTCTTAGAGCAAAGCACTGAGGCTTTGAAATGATTTTCCTGGGACTGCAATAAAGGCAAACCATTTGATTACCAGTTGCAATGCTTTTCCGCTGGGGTTTCGTGTCTTTCTTTTGTCTTACTTGGGCATATATAATGGGAAACATGGCTGTAATTATCCCCAAGGGCTGAAACTCTAATCTCCACCGTGTAATTGAAATTTCCTCTCAAGCAAAGTGTTTTTCCTGGATCCTCCCCAGCGTAAGAACATCTGAATGCTGATCGTTCCCCGGGGGGAAAGGAATATATATTCTCTCTCCCTCTCTAAGAAGATGATTCCTTCCATTTCCATTGCCACTTATTGTGAACCTCTTAAGCAAACACGACTCGCTCTTCCCCACTTGACTATTTAAGTATCTACGTGTCGAACAGACATTTATCAAGTGTAGCTGCACCCGAATACATGGAGCTGTGTGAAAAGCTGGGTACACCAGGGGGAATGAGACACTTGTCAGTCTCTGTCATCAAAGAGGTTACAGCCTCGTCGCCGGTTTGGCTCAGTGGATAGAGCAGCAGCCTGTGGACTGAAGGGTCCTGGGTTCAATTCCTGCCAAGGGCACATGCCCAGGTTGTGGGCTTGATCCCCAGTAGGGGGCGTGCAGGAGGCAGCCGACCAATGATTCTCTCTCATCATTGATGTTTTTCTCTCTCTCTCCTTCCCTCTCTGAAATCAATAAAAACATACTTAAAAAAAGAGAGAGATAGTTTAGAAAAATAGATACTTTTATTTTTATAAGATAAACAACTTAAGTCTTACCAGATTATAGGGTGAATTCATGATCAACACTGTCAGATTTAATGCAGAGCACTAAAAATCAAAGAAATGACAAACATATCTCTTAAAAAGAATTATTCACATTATTTATGGGCTAAAAATAAAGTTATTAAAAATTGTTTCACTAATCATACACATAGGTTATAAAAGTTAAATGCTTTAAAATAAAAAACCAGATTTTACACCGTATATCCTGGAAGTTTATTTACTAGTAATTCGCAAATATCTTTGCATTGCTTTAGTGAAGCAATTTCATCGCTGTCTTCTTCAAAGCGTTCGGATTTACTGCCTTCTGACAAATTCGATGGCAGATAAGAACTCACTTGGGATGTCCGAATTGACTGGCTTCTTTCTGAAGACCTGCAATCAGTTCTTGTTTTCATAGCGCTGTCTTCACCCATCTTTGTAACTTTAGAAGGATTCACGCTATTTTGGTCTAGCTGGTTTTCTTTTTCCTCAGTCCAACATGAAGACAAGTCACTGGTAGAAAGAGTAGACGCTTCCTCCAAACTTTCATCTCGAGTCTTCGAAATATGAAATCTTTTAGATGAGTGCACTGGTGATCCGGCTGAAAAAGGTGGGGTAGGAATAACACTCTGTTCATGGCTGTTTTTCCTTATGGACAATCTAGTTGCACTAGACTTACTGTTACATTGACTATGTTTTGGATTTTCTGCCGATGAACTCCTATCATGAGCCTGTAAAATTCTACTGGTATCATCAGTACAGAAATCTTCAGAGTAGCAAGGGCTGGTGAAGTCATCTGAATATTTCAGTTCTGAGATGCTCTCAGAGCAACTATATTTACTTGGTTGACTTTCATTCGCATCAGCAGTAAGAACGTCATTATCGGTGGCTTTGTCTTCTGTATCTTTCTCTCTTACAATCTTGTCAACAGCTGCAACCTGTTGGAAAACAAATGGACTCTGGACTTTCATGTCCACTTTTCCTTCCAAAATATTTGTATGAGCAAATCTTTCTGGAACGATGGGATTTGCAGGACTCACAATTTCTTCCAATGAACCATCATTGGTTCGATTTTCACCACTGTCAACTGTCTTTTCGGTTGCACATTTCAGTTGCGTTTCTTTGGTTGTACTAGGTCCACTAACCAGCTTTAAAGAATGGCAATTTTCAGCGAAAGATGTATCTGCTTCTGAATACTTATCTTTAGACAATTGGTGTGACTTCTGGTGTTGTTCTGCAAAGCCTAGTATTTTAACTTTGGATGATGGGGTTCGGGGTTTTGCACCGAACATTTGCACTTGCATCTTTCTATACTGTTCCTGCTTTTCATGTACCACCAACATACTGGGATTTGTTTGCTTTAAACGTAGCTTAAGTGTATTTGTTAAACCATAGAGTAGCTTACCCCTGGGAGCCTTTTTGGAGGGAGCACCGTGGTTCTTTTCAAAATATTTACCTGACTTAAGATTTTCATCTTGGTTCTTTTTATACTGAAGGCTCACTGGCTTCTCATCCTTTCCCACAGGAAACTTCTCTTTCCTTGATTCAGATTTAGCTATGGATTTGGCCGAAGATTCTGGTGATTTCTTTTCCTCAGTTCTATATAACCAGGCTAAGTGAGGGTGGATATGCATAGGGCTTTCGACAGGTTGGTTGTATAACAAGGACAACTCAACCAACAAAGCATTTAACAAAGGCAACTGCCTTATGGTATTCATTCTATTTTGCTCCGTTTGAGGGTGACCTGTACTTTGATGACTTGCTTCTACGTCCTGAGCACGGGGAGGATTAAGCGCCACAGGAGTCTCACGTGCTGCAGAATTTGTACCGTTCAGATGATGAATATGTGTTGGGGGATTGACAAGTTTTGCTTCTGGAAAAGTACCATCCAATTCCTCAGATCCATTCGCTTGAGGCTTAATGGTGACCTTACCCCGTAGGGGAGGCCTTTTTTCTGGGGTCACGTGGGTATAATACAGGGGAGGAGGGCAAAATGTGTTCGTCTCAAGGTCCAAGTCTGTGACTTCCTGTTCTGGGGGGCTAATCCTGCCCACACCGCTGGCATTTGAACAGACAGATTTGGTTTTGCCGTTCTCCACAGACCCCGTGCTACCTGCGTTGGCCTCGTGGTGGAAAACGACTTTCTTCAAATCCCTCTGTGCCTCCCGGCTGTGAAAACTCTTCGGAGGCCCATCAGGATCCCTTGGGCTTAGGTCCGAGTTTGGCTGCAGTAGCTGTCTCTCCTGCTGGGCTGGGGAGCTGCCCTCCACGGCCCTCCGTACCCCCGCATCTTGCACCCCACCCGCCATGGAAGGGACTGGCCGCTCCAGATGGCCCAGCAAGCTGCTGCCCAGGTCGGTCAGGCGGTAGGCCAGCGAAATGTCTCCCACCCGCTCCCCCACGTGGTTGTGCAGAGGAAAGCGTCCTCGATGCGCGTGGGAGCAGCAGGAAGGGGCCGGCCCCAGGACCTGGAGGGCGGCGGCGGCCAGCGAGATGCTGCAGGTGCCCAGGAGCCGCGGGGCGGGAGTCGGGCGCCCGGGGGGCAGCCGCAGCAGCAGGGTGTACAGCGGGGTGGCGAGGAGCCGGCAGCGCAGGGTGGCGGGGTGCAGGCGGAAGAGGCAGGACTTGCCGCGACCGAAGCTGAGCAGCCCAGGCCTGGGTTGCGGGGCGGCGGCGGCGGGGCCCCCGGGAGGGTACACCAGCAGCGTGGGGAAGTCCAGCAGGCGGAAGGCCACCGCGGGGCACAGGGAGCGCGAGGATGCCTCCCCCTCCTCCTCCTCTTCTTCCTCTTCTTCCTCCTCCTCGACTACGGGCTGCGGCGGCGGCCCGGCTTCCAGACGCACCCAGTCTACCAGCAGCTCCAGCGAGAAGAGCCGCTCGGACAAGGGGGCCGCCATTGCTGTTGCCCTGGGAGACGCTGACGCCGTCTGTGCAAACCTCGGGTCTCGCGAGAGCGGGGAGAAGCGGCGCCTGCGCATGCGCGTCCGGGCTGCTGCGCGGGCGGGGCCGCCCCCGGAGGTCTGCGCTGTGGCTGTTGCAGGGATTTTCGCCGCTGAATGTAGTTGGCCGTGCAGACCTGCCCTCGTGCAATTTCTGATGTTAATACCAAGGCTCCGAGTGGCAGCCGCAAAAATGCATGTTTTATTTTTTGCTTTGGTCGTGCTTTTAGCACTGCAGACCCCGTGCAAGATTTGGTGTCAGGTCAAACCTGCCTGGAAAAATATTGAAAGGAAATAGGGGCTCCCTTTCCAGACCCCAGGCTAGTGAGGGTCAGTGAACTGTCTGCAGTCGCCTCCGTCTGGGTAATGAAGGTAGCACTGAGGTAGATGATCATGATCTCTCATCGTTGATGTTTCTATCTTCCCCTCTGGAATCGATTATGTGTGTGTGTGTGTGTGTGTGTGTGTGTGTGTATTTAAAATTTGCAAAGGTCTTGAGTTAAACTTTAAAGAGAGCTCCAGCCTGAGATCTGTGGGAGGAAGAGTATTCTGGGCGGAGGAAAAGCAGCTGTAAATCCAGCCCTGAGAAGAGGAAACCACACGTATGAAGGAGGAAAGAGCACATGGTTCCATTTAAATGCTAGAAACAAGGGTGAGGCCCTCGCCGGTTTGGCTCAGTGGATAGAGCATTGGCCTGTGGACTGAAGGGTCACAGGTTCTATTCCAGTCAAGGGCACATACCGGGGTTGTGGGCTCGATCCCCAGTAGGGGGCGTTCAAGAAGCAGCCGATCAATGAGTCTCTCTCATCATGGATGTTTCTGTCTCTCTTTCTCCCTCTCCCTTCTTCTCTGAAATCAATAAAAACATATTTTTTTTTTTAAAAAAAGAAGGGTGAGGAAGTTGGCTGGGATCTAGTCTTAGAGATTCCTATATTATTTTAAAATGGGGTCACTGTGATATGTACATATACCATGGTGTCACCAGGTGACAAGGGTACCTACAGAGCCAATTCTCAAGACATGATAAACACATGCATATTTTAATTAAAAAAAAAAACCCAACAACCTTTAGATGTAAACTGTGCCCTCAAATAGCTGGTGGAAAGTTAGAGAAGTCAATTAAAATGTACTCTATTTATACAGCCTAGCTGGTGTGGCTCAGTGGATAGAGCGTCAGCCTGTGGACTGAAGGGTCCCAAGTTTGATTCCAGTCAAGGGCATGAAAAAAAATTTAAAAAGATAGTATATGCATAATACATACATACAAAAGGAGAGGGGGAGGGGCCTCTGCTGTCACTCTGCAGAACCACCTCTTTATCCCTTTCATATAACCACTGAGCCATGCCAGCTGGGCTAACTCAAAGCCTTTTTTTAAAAATATATTTTTATTGATTTCAGAGAGGAAGGGAGAGGGAGATAGAAACATTAATGATGAGAGAGAATCATTGATCGGCTGCCTCCTGCACGCCCCCCTACTGGAGATTGAGCCCAAAACCCAGGCATGTGCCCTTGACCGGAATCAAACTCAGGACCCTTCAGTCCGCAGGGCGACGCTCTATCCACTGAGCCAAAACGGCGAGGGCTCAAAGCCTTTTTGAAGTCATTTCGTGGTCCTGGCTGGAGTAACCTTTCCCGTCACGCTCAATGCCTGGTGCACCATTTTTCTGTTCTGTGGTATCATTCTCACACATGTGAGTCATGGCCCTGGTTCTCTGTAAGCTCCTTGATAACGTTCTCTCTTACAGGGAACACAGCGAATTGCTTCTGTCCAGGGGATGGGGTGTGTGTGTAAATGAAGAATCTAATCCCTCTGGGCCTTGCTTGTGTAGAACACACAGTTTGGGGAGTAGCTAAGCTAAAAACGTTCAATGTGAATATTGACAAGAAAGCTCTGATTCCTCCCCATGTGCAGCGTGCTCCGTGCGGAGTAGAGTTTTGTTTGTTTGTTTTTAAATATATTTTATTGATCTTTTACAGAGAGGAAGGGAGAGGGATAGAGCGTTAGGAGCATCGATGAGAGAGAAACATCCATCAGCTGCCTCCTGCACGCCTCCTACTGGGGATGTGCCCGCAACCAAGGTACATGCCCTTGACCGGATTCGAACCTGGGACCCTTCAGTCTGCAGGCCGACGCTCTATCCACCGAGCCAAACCCGTGAGGGCCAGAGTAGAGTTTTATGAAGCCGAAGACAACTTCAGAGAACTTGTGGGCCTTTTCAAAGAGACCCCACTGCGTTCCATGGGCCTTAGATTGCGCAGTGAGGGTTGACTGCTCCGTGGCCTTCGGTTGTTAGATTAAAGGAAACAGGATTAAGTGCTGATCTCTCCAGGGCCATTTTGTGACGCGGGGTCTCTGCGGGTTTCCTTTTGTTCGGGGAGCAGCGGGTGTGAACGTTCACTGAGGAGGGCTGGGGGGGGGGGTGCCCACCCGACGGCAGTGGGCGGGCCCCGCTGCAGCCACAGCTGGGCTTGCCCTCCATACCCTGCGATTGTGAGCTCTGCTTCTTTTCAACGGTTATTGGAAATGTATGCAACCCCAGCAGGAAGCAGGGATCCGGCCCCGCTAAAAATAGACGCCGTGTTCAAGTAGCCTAGACTTTCTGGAATCAGCGCTCCCTCTCTTTGCAACCTCAGCCTTCTCTTTTGTTTCTCTGCTTTCCCCCCTGCAAAGTCTGACCAGTGATGGGGCAGCACTCCTTGCCATCAATAGAGAGACTGGATATATAGGGCTGGCCACTCAGCTCATTCCCCAGGCCCCTCATGAAGGCGCAGGGTCACACCTCACACCCATCAGGATGGCCGCTGTTGCTGTCACAGAAAATAAAATGACGTGTTGGCCAGGTTGTGTAGAAGATGGAACTCTGTGCACTGTGGGTGGGATTATAAAATGGTGCAATCACGCCTGGCCGGCCTGGCTCAGTGGTGGAGCATGGACCTGTGAACCAGGAGGTCACGGTTTGATTCCCGGTCAGGGCACGTACCCGGGTTGTACGCTCGATTCCCAGTAGGGGGCGTGCAGGAGGCAGCCGATCCATGATTCTCTCTCATCACTGATGTTTCTCTCTCTCCCTCTCCCTTCCTCTTTGAAATCAATAAAATATATTTTAAAAATAAAGGGAAACCCAGAGCCCATGAGACAGAAAACGTGCTGCAACGGGGGCTCTGATGAGGACAGAGCCAGACTGACCCAAGTGTCAAGGGAATAACTGTCCAGGAACCCTCTCAGCACTTTCTAAAGTATCAACGCTCTGGGTTTAGGACATTTCATTTAGAATTCTGGTCAGATCCGGTTAGATCCATTTCAGAGATTCCGTTGATGGGATTGTAAGGTTATTTGCAACTGGGGGAAGGTGGGTTAGGAAAACCCACTGCGGGCCTGGTCGCCCCCAACGGCCCTTCCCTGCCGGCTTTTCTTACCCAGCAAAACAAGAAGACAAAGCTATGTTTCTAAAGAAGGGTCTTTGTGTTATGATTCTAGGCATTTTTTAAAAAAATTTTTATTGCCCTAATCGGTTTGGCTCAGTGGATAGAGCGTTGGCCTGCGGACTGAAGGGTCCCAGGTTCGATTCCAGTCAAGGGCATGTACCTTGGTGGTGAGCACATCCCCCAGTAGCGGGTGTGCAGGAGGCAGCTGATCGATGTTTCTCTCTCATTGATGTTTCTGGCTCTCTATCCCTCTCTCTTCCTCTCTGTAAAAAATCAATAAAATATATTAAAAAAAATTTTTTTTATTGATTTCAGAGAGGAAAGGAGAGGAGAAGAGAGAGAGAGAGAGAGAGAGAGAGAGAGAGAGAGAGAGAGAGAGAGAGAGAAACATCAGTGATGAGAGAGAATCATTGATTGGCTGCCTCCTGCATGCCCCACACGGGGGATTGAGCCCACAGCCCGGGCATGTGCCCTGCCTGGGAATTGAACCATGACCTCCTGGTTCCTAGGTTGATGCTCAACCACTGAGCCACACCGGCTGGGCTGATTCTAGGTTTTTTAACATTGGTTTAGTACTGTGCGGGAGGGGTGGGGGACCTTTCTAAGAATACACCAGAGGTTTCAGCCAGGGTGACACCAGCCTGGCAGCAAATTAATAAGTGAAAGCTTTGCCTCTGAAATAACCTCAAAGCCATTTCCAGGGATTCTAAGTTTAGCCAACGTGTGCCTTTCATGTCAGCCTGAAATCTAAAGTTCAGCTATTTGTGGTAACCAGATATTTCAAAGGGTAGAGTTTACAGGAGTGGAAACTATTAACCCAGTCGATCGTGGCCCAGTTCTCGAGAGCATCTATTTGGAGGGAGACAGGTCACTATAGCAGCAAACAATGTCACCTGGAATGGGAAGACCACAGTGCCAGCTCTGTTCTCCCTCTCGTGACCATGGGCAAGCCAGTCAAACACCTGAGGCTGCTGATGCCGAAGTGGGCGTGTCCTGGGGGTGACCCACTGGGGTGAGGAAGGGCGATGTTAGAATATCCCATTATATATATTTTCATGGGATCATTTAAAATTTTAGTATGTGTGTTGTGCATTACAAAGTGCATTAAACTGGACTAAATAGTAGATGAAAATGATTCAGGATGTAGATGACCATTTAAGAAAATATATAAATGTTTTTATTGATTTCAGAGAGGAAGGGAGAGGGAGGGAGAGAGAGAAACATCAGTGATGAGAGAGAATCATGGATCGGCTGCCTCCTGCACACCCCCGACTGGGGATCCAGCCCGAAACCCAGGCATGTGCCCTGACCGGGAATGGAACCGTGACCTCCGATTCATGGGTCGAAGCTCAACCACTGAGCCACACCGGCCAGACCAGTTTTCCCTTTTCTCTATCCGCTTGGCAGTCCCTTCTCCGAAGGGGAAACGCACATGTTTTATCATGTTTTTTAAGACTCAAGGAGTTCAAACTGACAGCAGCAAACGCCCTCTACAGACACTTCCAACGAGCCATTGAACCCCTTTCCTGGGA